ATATAAAGCGGCCATTGGACTAATATTAGGGACTAAAATTATAGTATATTATGCATTTATCAAATTCCCCCACACTTAGTCTTTGGTTGCCCTCGAACAAACTAAATAAAACTAACCAATAAAAGCAATAAACCTAACTCACTGTCGTAGGAATCACGGTTACACTTAGCACGTACGACAAGCCCTTTAAACCCCTAAGTTCCCCCTAGAGGACGAGTACGGTCTCGTGAGGGTTTGCAGTAGACATACCCACAAAGTCTATTATTCAGAAATTTTCAACTAAATAGCAATAAACAATTTTAAAACAGAATTCATAAAAGTTTCTCCAATATAACTTGACAACTTGGTTGGTTAACTTTTATCATTTTTCACCCTCCTAGCGTATACCAATTTACATGTCTCAAATCATTAGGACTTTTAATTTTAAGGTTATCATGGGGGTTTAGGTAAATGAAGGATATGACAATAATTATGGGATTGTGGTGGTAATATTCTATAAATTAGTCGAGCATAGTATGATTACAACCAAATCAAATATTCCTCATAACAAATATTTCTTGAGTGCACATTGAACTTTTATGTACACTGCCCCCTTCTTCTTTTTTTATTTCTACTTTTTTTTTTGTAAGTTTCATGACTCTTAATGTTCAATCTCTGTTGAGTAGTCCATGTAACGAGTGTTCGACCAGTGGCTCCCGGTCCAGTTGGTCCAAGGCACTAGGCTTTAAGATTCCCCTGAGGATCTACTTACTCAAACTACACAAGCAAGAGATAGAAACATCACACGTACATAACTGGGTTTGAAATTTTTTTTTTTTTTTTTTTTTGTAATTCACTATATGTGAATTGATTAACACATATACCCAATCATTGGTACGCATAGCCTTACATTGAAACTTTCACTTTATAATACTGTATGTATCACCACTGAATATCAACAACCATTTTTACATCACACTTTAATATGCTCTACTAATTTCAAAAAAGGTTAACCATTTGATGTGTAAGTAGAGGTACATTTGTGATTTATTCATGGAAAATAACAGGGATAGGCTTTTTGGTTGATGTGGCGTAGAAACTGTTTTAAATGCCTAAATCATTTTCAAAACATGAATTAGTTGCAGTTTTAGAGGGAAATGACAAAAGCTTAAAGGATAGGTTATCAAGAATACTGGAGAATAAAAACACTTTTTTTTTTTTGTGTTTTACTGCTATTAGCTCAAAATTTCCAATATCTAAAAAAAATCGGCAGCATCTCCCCTAAAAATGGTCATAGTCAAACAACTTTTTGTTGCTAAAATTGTAACCCAGACTAACATCCCAACATCCAAAATATAAAAAACAACAGTGGCCCCCCCCCCCACTTAAACTTTTCATTGTCCTCGATGAAAAAGAAATGAAGAAAAAGGAGAAGAAACTTAGCTGGTTCTGTTCTCTGTTTTGATGACTCAGGTTGGTCTGCCTTTATTTTCTTTATTATTGTGCTTCTGCTCTATTCATTGAGCAACAGATTTTAAAGTATCGAAGATTTATGAATATGTCCAAAGTTGCAGCAGGAATCTACCATTTTGTGAATCTGGTACACAGCACAAGAAGAAGCAAATTCCTGGAAAGGCATAATTAAGGCAGAATGTCAGTGCACTTTATAATAAGACTGTGATGATCAGAAAGGTTGCAATTCTGGACAGAACATTGACACCAAATGAGATATTCTAAGCCACAACTAAACTAGCTAAGCTCTTGCAAACCGACTAGCAAAACTCAGTGTATAGTGAATTTCAGTTGTTAAAATATATACTATTGTAACTTAAATATTCTGTGAGACAGGAGTGAATTAGTGCAGCAATTGCAACTCAGTTATAAGCACAATTTAGCGTAAATATGTAGGGAGTGAATGCTGAAAAATAAAATAAAATGAGTAAAATAAATAAATAAATAAATAGAACTGTAAGGAAAGAAATAATTAATCTTGGGTTGCCTCCCAATCAGCGCCTTTGGTTTACGTCGTTGTCTCGACATTTCTCTCTTCATGCTTGTTCAAATAAAATGTCTTCAATCATGGTCACATAATCTTGATCATAGAATGGTTTTAACATGTGGCCATTAACCTTGAAAATTTTGTTAGTATTGAAATCTTTGATTTCTATTGCACCATGAGGAAAAACATTAGTAACAACAAAGGGGCCAAGCCATCTAGTTTGTAATTTTCCTGGAAATAATTTCAATTGAGCATTAAATAAAAGCACTTTCTGGCCAACCTGAAATGATTTTCTATCTATATTTTTATCATGGAAGGCTTTGGTCTTGTCTTTATAGATTTTGGCATTTTCATATGCCTCTAACCTCAATTCTTCCAACTCAAGTAACTGTAATTTCCTTTCTTTCCCAGCAAGATCATAGTCTAAATTACATTGCTTCACTGCCCAATAAGACTTATGCTCAATTTCCACAGGTAAGTGACACGCTTTTCCAAATACAAGTCTAAATGGAGACATTCCTAAAGAAGTTTTATATGTAGTTCTATATGCCCATAAGGCATCACCTAAACGAAGGCTCCAATCCTTTCTACTTGGGTTAACCATTTTTTCCAAAATACCCTTTATCTCCTTATTCGACAATTCAACCTGTCCACTTGTTTGGGGGTGGTATGCAGTGGCTACTCTGTGAGTCACGTGGTAATTTTCCAGAAGGGCACCAAATGTTTTATTGCAAAAGTGGGTTCCTCTGTCACTAATGATGGCCTTAGGCATGCCAAATCTATTAAATATATGACTCTTAACAAACTTAACAACTGTTTTAGCATCATCGGTTATTACAGCTTTCCCCTCTACCCATTTAGACACATAATCAACAACAAGAATGATATAAACATTACCAAAAGAAACGGGAAAGGGACCCATAAAATCAATGCCCCACACATCAAATATTTCACAAATTAAAATTCTAGATTGGGGCATTTCATTTCTTTTAGACAGATTTCCAGATTTCTGGAAGCGTTCACAAGCCTTACAAAATAAATAAGCATCCTTGTAAATAGTAGGCCAATACAAATCACATTCTAAGACTTTATGAGCAGTCCTTTGAGGACCAAAGTGTCCTCCACTTTCAAGACTATGGAAAAATGTTAGTATAGAATCATGTTCAGGTTTATCTACACACCGTCTAATTACTTGGTCAGAGCAAGATTTCCACAAATAAGGATCATCCCATATGTAGTATTTAGATTCCGACTTTATCTTTTCTCTTTGGGCCTTAGTTAGAAAAGGGGGAAACGTCCTAGTTACTAAGTAATTAACCATAACGGCATACCAAGGAGTTTCAACATGATATAAAGAAAGCAATTGTTCATCGGGGAAAAAATCACTTATCATAGGCCAATCTTCTCTAGGGACAATCCTACTCAAATGGTCAGCAACTTGATTTTCAACACCTTTTTTATCCCTAATTTCTAGATCAAACTCTTGTAATTGAAGCATCCACCTAAGTAACTTAGGTGTTGAATGACTCTTCTTTATCAAGTAATTTAGAGCCGCATGATCAGAATAAACAATCACATGAGTACCAAGTAAATAAGTTCTAAACTTTTCCAAAGCAAATATCACAGCATACATTTCTTTTTCAGTCACAGTGTAAATGCATTGGGCAGGGTCAAGTGATTTAGAAGCATAATGTATCACATAAGACTCTTTACCCTTCTTTTGGCCTAAAACAGCTCCTATGGTTTTATCACTAGCATCGCACATTATTTCAAAAGGTAACGACCAATCAGGGGGTCTAATAACAGGAGCACTTGTTAGGTTGGCTTTTAAATCATCAAAAGCTTTCTTACATTCATCATTGAAGTCAAAAACAGCATCTTTAGCAAGCAAAGCACATAAAGGTGAAGCAATTTTAGAAAAATTCTTTATAAAACGCCTATAAAAACCAACATGTCCTAAAAATGATCTAACTTCGCGAACACATTTAGGATAAGGCAGAGAACTTATCACCTCAATTTTAGCTTTGTCTACCTCTAAACCTTTAGCGCTTACAATATGACCAAGAACCACGCCTTGTTCTACCATGAAATGACACTTTTTAAAATTCAAAACAAGATTAGTTTCAACACATCTCTTCAGAACACGAGTTAAAGCATGAAGACATCTATCAAATGAATCACCAAAAACAGTAAAGTCATCCATAAAAACTTCCATATCATGTTCGATTAAATCAGAAAATATGCTCATCATACATCTCTGAAAAGTTCCTGGAGCATTACATAAACCAAAAGGCATTCTTCTAAAAGCAAATGTACCAAAAGGACAGGTAAAAGTGGTTTTATCTTGATCTTCAGGGGCAATGGGTACTTGTGTGAAACCTGAATAACCATCCAGAAAACAGAAGAAAGATTTTCCAGCAAGTTTTTCTAACATCTGATCAATAAATGGCAGAGGAAAATGGTCTTTTCTAGTAGCTTGATTAAGCTTCCTATAGTCAATACAAACTCTCCATCCATTAGAAACTCTAGTGGGGACAAATTCTCCTTTATTATTTTCGACAGCTGTTATTCCACTCTTTTTAGGTACCACATGTATAGGACTTACCCATTGAGAATCAGAAATAGGATATATCACTCCTGCATCTAACCATTTTAGAATTTCCTTTTTATCTACTTCCATCATTGAAGGATTTAATCTACGTTGAGCCTCTCTAGTTGGTTTAGCATCTTTTTCAAGAAAAATTTTATGCATGCACATGGCGGGACTAATGCCTTTTATGTCAGCTAAAGTCCATCCTAAGGCTTCCTTGTGATTTTTAAGCAAATTCAATAACTTAGTCTCTTGAGATTCATTTAAAGAACTTGAAATGATCACAGGTAGAGTCTCATTATCACCCAAATAAGCATACTTCAAATTAGAAGGAAGGGGCTTCAATTCTAATTCAGGTGGCTTAACAGTAGAAGGTATCAATTTAGGCACAATAGAAGGTAAAGATTTTTTACATCCATCACAAGCATCAGGTTAAATCACATCAGATGAAACTACAAAAGAATCAACCATTTTTGTTTCCTTAAAATCACCAAACACACCATTTTCAAATAGATTTTTACACCACTCATCAAAAACATCCTGAGCCATCCAGTCACATGCATCAAATGAATCTATAGAACTAACATTACTGATATCATTAGGGTATTTCATAGCATCAAATATGTTGAATTTAATCATTTCGCCATCAAATTCCATTGTCAAATTACCTTCATGAATATCAATTTTAGTTTTGGAAGTCTTTAGAAAAGGACGACCCAACAATAAAGGAACACTATCAGATCTATCACCCATATCAAGCACATAAAAATCAGCAGGAAAAACTAGTTCATTCACTTGAACAAGTACATCTTCCAAAACTCCCATAGGAAATGCATTAGATCTATCAGCTAATTGGATAACAACATTAGTTTTAGACAAAGGACCCACATTCAAAGTATCATATACAGATTTAGGCATGACATTAATTGAAGCACCTAAGTCTAACATGCATCTTTCAAATTTAGTGTTACCAATTTTACATGGGATAGAAAACATGCCAGGATCTTTGCATTTTGGAGGAAGTTTCTTTTGAATTACAGCAAATATGTTCTCACCCATTCTTACCTTTTCACGAGGCTTGAAGTTCCTTTTGTTAGTACAAAGTTCTTTTAGAAACTTAGCATACTTAGGTATCTGTTTAATAGCATCAAGAAGAGGGATATTCACTTCAACCTTCTTAAATGTTTCAAGTATTTCATTGTCAAGGGCCTCCTTCTTAGCTTTAGCAAATCGAGAAGGAAAAGGGGGAATATCTTTAAAACGAGAAACATCATAATTCACATCAAAATTACCCTTCTTTTCCAGTTCTTTCTCACTTTCTGTATCATGTTTTTCCTTACTCTCACCAGCTACATCATCCTTAGGTCTGACTTCTACCTCTTTCTCTATTTCTCTATTCTTTATTTAAGGTTCCTTTAACTCTTTACCGCTTCTAAGTGTTACAGCTTTAGCATGTTCATTTGTATTGGCAAGTGTTTGAGAAGGGAGCCTATTCAAAAGCTGAGATTCCAAATTACTAAGGGAAGTGCTAATTGACCTATTTGAGTATCTATGTGATGTAGGTGAGTGTCAGTTTTCTTTTGATATTGAACACCTTGACTATGAACTTGTCCAATTTGGGTAGTCAATTGTTTCACTAAATCCTCTAATGATGAACCAGATTGTTGTTGTGAATTTTGTTGAACAAATGGCCTAGTTTGATTAGAATGAGAAAATGGTGGTCTAGGTCCATACCTAAGGTTAGGGTGATCTTTCCAACCTTCATTATAAGTATTAGAAAAAGGGTCATATTTCCTTTGAGATTGACCAGGAAAACCTCCTAAGGCATTAACATCTTCACTTTGTAAAGTAGGACATTCATCAGTAGCATGAGAAAAATCAGAACAAACACCACATACTCTAGCTGTAGACTCATTACCAGGAACAATTTTAGACACTAAGGTGGTTAAAGCAGCAATTTGTTGAGCATTTTCTTGTAATTGATTTTTAATTCCACTTAAGTCCACATCATTAACTCTTTTAACATCATTTCTACTGCCAAATTGTTGAGTATTTTGAGCCATATTAGAAATTAACTTTCTAGCTTCTGTTGTAGTTTTATCTACTAATGCCCCCCCCCCCCACTTGATGCATCTATCATACCTCTCTCATTAGGTAACAACCCCTCATAAAAATATTGAATTAACAATTGCTCACTTATTTGGTGTTGGGGACAAGATGAACAAATTCTGTTAAAACGTTGCCAATACTCATATAAAGATTCGTTATTATTTTGTCTAATTCCACAAGTTTCCTTCCTAATAGAACCAATACGACTCGCAGGAAAGAATCTTTCAAGAAAAACTTTTTCCATTTCTGCCCAAGAATTAATAGAACTAGGTGAAAGTTGCTCATATAGCCACTCTTTGGCAGGATCTTGCAAAGAAAAAGGAAAAGCATGCAATCTAATATGTTCTTGTTCTACGCCTTCTGGATTCATGGAAGAACATACAACCTTAAATTCTTTTAAGTGTCTATAAGGATTCTCACCTGCGTTCCCATAGAATTTAGGGAGAAGATTAAGGAAACCTGAATTCAGCTTTAGAGGATTCTCTAGCTCTGGAAAGACAATGCACAGAGGGTCTTCTCCTGTTCTCGGTGCTCCCAATTCCTTCAGTGTTCGTTCTTCCATGTTCTTGTATTCAATCGGTAATGGATCTTCTATTTCAAGTTCTGGTTCAGCACTGAAAATGTGAAGCAGCTTCTCTGGTTCAGCCTCGTTTAGGAAGCCTACGTATGCTTTAATGTGCTGAAGTCTAGCTTCTTTATCGTACGCGTACATACACCTATAAAGAAAAACAGAAATTAATGGAAAGATGAGCTTGAAATTTTAGTGTAGAAATGTAGAGTTCAATAATCACCTTCTAGTCAGAACTTAGCAGCTTATAACTAGGCAGGATTTATAGCTTTAACAGATACGCTGTAATGAGATCAATTACTTAGACATGCATTTTAGATTTCATGTAGCTAAATTTCCAATAGCAAATCAACATCAGGCAAGCTAAAGAATTATCCGAACCTAGCTTGGCAGACCAAGACATTATGCAATCCCATTAAATCAGTTGTCATATATATATTCTGCTTAGTTTTTACTCAAAAAGATATGAAACTAGTACACACTGGTCTTCCTGAATGTAGGAGTAGGCATACTAATACTCATGCATTGTCAAATTCAACATATAAAGCTAACTGATTGTCAATCTTATTAAGCCAGATTAGTTATAAACTACTTTTACTTCTGATTTTGAGATTATAATAGCACAAAAGAAGCTTATATTTGGACACTAACTCGTTAAATTTTACTACTAAAACACTTTATAGCATACATAATTCAACTTCTTTTACAGTTTTTTTTTTATCAAAATTCTCATAAGAGATTAAAACTTGCAAAGATATGTAATTGGAACAAGAATCATTTTGAGCAGTCTAAGCAAAACATGAACTAAACATGAATCACAAATATATAATTTGAGTTAATTCAGATGCACTTGAAGCAAAACAATCCTAACAGAACAAATTTTTCCTTAATACTATTTTGCATCTAAAATATACTCTACCAACAGTTTTAACTACTGTCAATCAGTTCATTTCAGAGTTTTTATAACTCAACTTAACCATTTATCTCTTGACCTTTAATAGCAATAAAATAGTGACAAATCTATTCAGCAATGCTACTAAAATTAGTGTTCATTATCTGACTAACCCACAGTTAGGCACGAAATCATATATATGCAAGCACGTTAATAGCAAATCAATATAAGTCAACTTAATTCGAGAGTGACTTTGAGCTACCTCAACTACTTAATCCTACCAAATCTTATAAAGATCATTAGAAAGTAAAATGTTCAGTATATTCCACTAATACTTTATTAATTGCAAGGATGACTTAACTAGTGAAGTGTTCAGTACATACCACTCTTAAGTTATATGTAAGAGCCTAGTGTAGGACAATAGTGGCTTATTAGTTACTTAATTCCTGAACAGAAACTCAATGTAAGATAATATCTAATGACAACTCCTAGTAACTGTTTTAATTTCCACTACCATATCATTAGTTGTGATCAGATTAATACCATAGTTAAATTATCATAAGGAGAACAAACATATGTGTGCAAAAATAAAAGTATTATGCAACTTGAAATATACTTATCCTGCACCCATGCACCAAAATATTAAGAGAGTTAATCAATAATCATTACTTGCAAAAATTTGTCCAAGAAACAAGCAATGCACTAATTACTACTCCTCTACATACCGTTTCCAAATAGGTTGGGCTAAATTAAGAATTAAACGAAAGTGTACCCAACCTCACCTAATGTATGTTTATTTTGGCTTTAAACGAAATTAACAACTAATGAAGAAAATTGACACACTTGAAGGCATGAACATGATGTTAAACAAAAGTATATGAAAAGCAGACATTACTTCTAAAAATTGATCATGTATAAAAGATTTTATATGAGTGGAACAGAGTAACTAACATCTCTAACAGTAAGCATGAAGGCTATAATTAGCTAATTCATTCTCCGTATATAAGTAACAACTTATCACACAGATATATAATTAGAAATACAGATTAAATCTTGATTTTAAGAGTTAAAATTTATCTCCCCGGCAACGGCGCCAAAATTTGATACGTGTCGTTTACCGTATAAAATTAAATATTTATTTTCCTAACTTAACCTTCAAAAATATTAACAACTAGTAAAAGGGTAAGAAAGGGTCAATCCCACGAGGAGACTTTTAACTCTTTAATCAAGGTTTAACTAGATATATTACGGAAACTTACATACTATACATTTATTCACATATGTACATATAATGGGGGGGTTTGTTTTAGATAATACTAAACTAATAAAACTAATACGGAACTAAACTAATAAACTACTATTGACGACACAACTAACCAATTCCACTTCGGCACTACTCATACTAAACTATTGATAACAACAATTGACCGACTCTACAAAATACTCAATTTAACGATTAGACTAATCGTAGAGACTATAGTAACAAAGACTCCCTATCTCCCTTACTTGAAACCAAATTTGGACTAAGCTGAAATTGACTCTAAACCGATCTAATTAACACAAATATTTCGCAACTTGTATGAGTTAGATACGGAAGCATTAACAACTATGAGACCTCATTAGTCCTAATTAAACTAATCACATAAATGCTTAGAATAATTAGATTGAAAATGCCCTCTGATTTAAACCAAACCATAATCGCAGACTTGATAAAAATTAGATACTACTTCACTATATAATTCAAACTAAGACAAATCATATAGATAGCAATAATTCACAACTAATAACATGATAGATAACAATCAATGTCAAATTTCAAATTTAATAATCAAGAACGAGCAAATTTCAAATACCCATTAAATCGAAAAAATAATACTATCAAGAATCAATTATAATATCAATAATCCAATAAAAGTACTTCATCAATTTAGCAAAGAACATCAAATAAATCAGTAGTATTGAACAAATAATTTCAGAAGAAGACTTATAAAATATACTCTGAAGAACACCCGAATAAACCCGGCTTCGACCCCGCGATTCACCTTCGTTCTTGTTCTACCTTGGATTCGAGACTAAGCTTCCCTACAATGGCTATCTTCTCTTCACCAATTGCCCAATTACGGACTCACTCGAACTCTCGTACTCTTTGTATAATTATTGGCTAAGTTGTGTGTCCTCTAAGATGATTGTTTTGGGGTTTTTATAGCCAAAAACAACGGCCTCCCATGATTTTCTAGGTTGGAAAGATAAAATTTAAGATGGAAATTCATCTTCTATTTGCTTGAATTTCGGATAATATTGTTGAAGATGAACCTTAAGATTTTGGGGTATCTTTGGTTTTCACGCTCCTTTCTTTACTTTATTTGTTGCTGCTTTCTTATCTTTGCTTTCTTATTGTTTAATGTTGCTAAGTCACGTGCCTTTTTCTTCTTCCCCTTTTTTTTATATTTGCTAGTCTGCTTTGCTATTGGGCTCGTAATGCTTGCGAATATTTTTCTTCCTACCAAAAACACACAACATAAAATTAAGTATCAATTATTATAAAAATAACTATAAAATAAAATAATGAATAAAATAAAATCTAAAATAATAAAAGTAAATAAAATCATAAAATAACCAATATAAAGCGGTCATTGGACTAATATTAGGGACTAAAATTATAGTATATTATGCATTTATCACTTATCCCCTTCGGGAGATTGATAAATAATTTCAGCGCCACATTCGGTCGCTGTTGCACTACCATCTAGAAACACCTTCAAGATCTGGTCTCCGGCCAGTTGTAAATCTGCCCATGTCATCTCAGCCAAGAAATCAGCAATGGATTGCCCCTTTATGGCTTTTCTGGGTTCGAACGTGATGTCAAAACCCCTTAGCTCTAAGGCCCACTTAAGCATGCGGCCACTAGCTTTTAAAGCTGCAACCGAATTCTTGAGTGGTAGATCATTATAAACCACTATTGAATGTGCCAGGAAATACGGCCGCAACTTTTTAGATGCCATGTACAGCGCCAGCCCAAATTTTTTAACAGGAGGGTACCTAAGCTCGACACTGTGTAGCACGTGGCTAAAAAAGTAGAGTGGGATCTGGTTGCTGTCCCGTTCAACAAGAAGAACGACACTTAAGAAATGCTCTGAGATAGCAAGGTAGATGTACAACTTCTCATCCTTGAGTGGACAGACAAGCTGAGGCAATGTATGTAGATGAATTTTTAACTGTACGAATGCTTCCTCTGCCTCCTACATCCACTCAAACATAGCTTTCTTTTTTATGGTCTGAAAAAAGTATCGGCATTTGTCTCCTGATCATTCCAAAAACCGACCAAGTGCTGCCAAATAGCCGGTCAGTCTTTGCACTTCTTTGATTGTTCTTGGAGACTTCATGTCCAAGACAGCTTGAATTTTTTCAAGGTTAGCCTCAATTCCACGTTGATCAATTAAAAATCCGAGAAATTTACCAGACTCAACACCAAAGACACATTTCTTCGGGTTTAA